TTTAAATGCCTCTTTTTCTGCAACTGCATTGCCTTTCTCAATTGTCCTTCAGGATTTTGGCCTTTGTTTATGGAATCACGAAGTATAATGATTCTTAAAAACTATACCAGCGTGAGTACAAACGTATCCTTTTGAGAGGTAGCCGCACCCTTATAAAAGGAATAAGACCCAAACTTTTCAGGTCAAAATTTCAGTAGGTTGCGTCTGTATGGCCTTTTCAATTTTATAAATTATCATTATTTTTAAGTGGAAAAATAAAACTCAAAATTAATGACAATCTTTGCGCTAAAAAAATAATATCATAAAATAGTCATTATTTGTAATCCCAAAAATAAAAATCAAATAATAATTATTTCCGTTTGAGCGAAAAAATAAAAATCAATAATAATTCATAAAATAATGATTAAATGCTGATTTAAATTATTTTACTCATAATGATTACCTTCCCTGCTTTTAAAATTTAAAATAAAATAGTTTAGTGAAAGTACCACATTTCACTGCTTTTGGACTGGTGTGGAACTAGTTACTATCGGACTGGTTCGCTTTTGGCGAAAAAGAACTAGTACTGAACTAGAAATCTGGTTCACTAGTTCGTGTTTTCCCTACAGGAACTCGTCTCAACACGGCGAGCGAGCAACACGCAGCAGGTTCGCTCGTCTAAGAGGAGCCCGTGCAAACAAGCGCTCGTTTGCCGAGAAAGCCCAATAATGACAGAATACAAGATTGCGGCCATTGGAAATGATTTTTGAGTGTAATTTTTGCTGACGTCATCTTGGTGCAATTGCGAGTGAGAGATGCCAAAACGCATAGGAAAAAATGTAAACAATGTGTAAGAATGTGTTAATATCAATATTACTTAAATGGTCCAATTTTGCAGGAATTAATAAATATGCAAAGTTTAATTAAATAGGAACACGTAGCAATTATTTTGGGCATGTAGTTCTTTAGGTATGTACAATTTTCAGCGCATGCCGGATGTTGGAAAAATGCATGAAGTTTTCCTGCTACGCACCGATACATATTATAGGTCTTCACACCGAAGCTTGGTACTCGGTGTTCGGAAATTTTTTCCCCCTGTATTTTGTTTGTGTAACATTGTGTGAGAATTACCGGATACAGAGTTACCGAATACCGAGCTCGGTGTGAAGACCCATGTTGTTTCTTACGTTTTATTTGATATCGAAACATATAAAAGATTGTTATTATTGTTTAATACGTTTGAAAAAAACGACCTCTGGTTACGGTTCAAACGTCACGTCAGCTAGGGGAATGGATAACATTGGATGGTGTCCAAACGGTAAATTTTTTGTTGCTGATGATGTGCGCATGTTTATATGTATAAATACATACTACATTATTTTGTTGCAATCCTACCTATATATCCCCAACATAAACATACATATGACGCGTAGCCGCGAATAACATTGGAAAACTCCCGCTTCGGAAATGGGCAGATTGTAGTTAGCGTAAACGAACATAGCGACACGAGTGTTAAGAAGCCTGCGAAAAGCATAGAAAAAATTTCTCGGGCTCGAACTATCCTGTCTTTTAAGTTAGAACCAAAAATACATACCCACAAAATTTCATTGAAGTTCGTTAAGCGATTTCGCAGATTAGAGTAAACCAGAGGTGCCCAAACTTTATTTTTCTCGCAGACCCCTTTCAAAAAGTTACTGATTTCGGTGGACCCCCTGGTGATACATTTGTAAATATTCCCAAAGCTCGTGAAAAAATTAAATGTGAAGATTAGATATAACTATGGAAATTTGCATCGCGGGAGAATTCAAAAACTAAACTCGAGAGTGGCCAAAAGAAAACCAAAATAGTGTCTTGTGTTCTATTTATAAAAACTAGTATCGCCCAGTTGTCGAAAATCGACATCTTTTTTCATACACTTTTGAATTTTACCTATCACCAATACTAACTCTCTTATGTGAATTACTATTTTGAAGTCCACCAGCATAATTTATAGCGAATTTACAGGAAAACTTAAAATCGAATTATGAACGTTAATACCGGATTGATTAATGCTAATTTTACCAAGTCTCATCCTCATTAGCTTTTGAAAATAGACCGAAAAAGGAACCTCGATTTTCATTTATAAAAAATATGCATATGTATTTGTAAGTATAGATGAGATGTTCATATGCTGCTCTGTAAAATTTCAGGACGTCAGCATAAGCGGTTCCAGGGAAAAGCGATAGGAGAATTTCAGTTTGTATGGGAGGTGCCACGCCCCCTTTCCCAAAATCTACCACTTTTCGGTATTTACAATCTATGCATCTCTGCTAAGTTTTAGTTCCGCAGCATAATTAGTTTTATAGATATAGTGGTTTTCACATTTGAGTCTATATGTCAAGTGCCACGCCCCCTATGTATCGGGATTAATATTTCTGGATTAGAAGAAGTTATATCCTTTAAATCGGTGTATCGCAAAATTTTTTTTGTGGCGTATTTATGTACAGATAATGTCATTACACACTTTCAGATTTTAAAAAATAGAGCTCGTAAATCTATCAAAATACTCTCCCGCTCCTCAGAGTTATATTTATTTTTTAAGAGCACTCCGAACCCCAGCGTTATGTACATTATCCTCGACATAAACTCATCAAATATTCGGCTCCCTCATGATTTTGTACGTGTAGTATTTGTTTTACTTGTGTTGATATCATCGTTTTTTATTTTTATAACTCCGAGTTTTAAAGTAAGGAGAAAAATATTTATCACTTTTTTAAAACACAAAACTTAAAACACCAAAACGGCTAAGCTTTTTACGCCATACTTTTAATTCAGACACTTACAATAGAGAAAATAACGAGTCTAGAAAGATTGGTGACAAACAACCAAGCCAGCAAGAAGCATAAAAAGTGTTCCACCGTCTCATCCTCTTCAAGGCAAGATGGGCAAATGGACTTGTCATTTACGCCTATCACAGTCAGGTGCTTGTGCCACGTGAAGTGACACGTGAAGTGACCAGTCAGCAGTCCAGCAAGTTGTCTTCAGTGTCGTTTACTCAGTGAGAGCAAAAACTTAGATAGACCTTCCGAGATTGACGGTAAAATGAGTTTTGCTCACCTGCATTCCCTCGATGCCTCACAGTCATCGCTGAGCGAAGTATTCACCCAGTTACTGATAATGGCTTAGATGGCCGAAGGTGGGAGCGCTAAAAATGGTTGATGTCCGAATACTGCCTGGTCTGAGCCAACTCTGGCCAAATGGTCAGATGTCTCACAACCAGGTACTCCTGAGTGACCTGGCACCCAGAGTAAAGCAACCTCGTGATGTTCACCATCATATTTTAGTCGAGAATTGCATTGCCGGACTAGTTTGTACTTCACATATATAGAGGGCTGGTCAATGCCTTAAGTGCAGCTTGGTTGTCACTGCAGACACGTAAACTCCTTCCCCTCCATCTGTATTCCACCACGTAGTTCATGGTTTTGAGGATTGCAATTACCTCAGCCAGGAAGACCGAAGCATATTCCCCTATAGAGAAGGGAAGCTTATCCCCATTAACTTCGAAAAATACCCCAGATCATGACCCAGAGTCAGTTTTGGAGCCATCAGTTAAGATTCGACAATGTGCGAGTCCAGTCTCAGTGATGGAATTAAACCAGCATTCAGTCTCAGGGAACTCAACACTGGAATCTATTCAACAAAAGTTATGGTAAATCGCTGCCGCCAGCAATTTCCGCCGCGCCCTACTCTGTTTTATACCAACATCCGGTCTTTTTAGTCTGCCGGTGGCCTTTAAGGCTCCCCCACGTATGAAAACACAAAGTAATGGTAAGTTCAGCAGTGCGTCAAGAGCACTATGCACTACTCAAAAAAACTCAAGTTAAATAAAGAAGCTATCAAGCAACCATTTTGGTTCTTTACTATCGACTTACAGCTCATGGTCCCTCATATTTTTATTCACGCCAACGTAGAGCCCTGTCGAGTCTCCCGTGGATTCCTGGGGGTCCACCTGGACCACTTTGGAAATCACTGGCGTAAACGAACACAGTGACACGGGATTTTTATATATTAAGATTAGTGACCACAAATCACAAAATAAGGTTTTACAATAAAATGTAGACTCTTGATTACAAATGTGTGTTTTTTGGATCGGGTAATCCATTCGGACACAATAGCCCGAAATCATTGGGCAGTTAACTAAACCGTACCCAGTTTAATCGTTATTTGGTTTTCTTCAACCAACAATTGCACCAGGATGACGTCACACACTCAGCTGATTCTGTCAAATTCGCAAAGAGCTGATTAGCGGTACCGCATGTCCATGATGCAATTATACAAGGTGTTTGAGGCTGGCAGCTTCTCGCTCTAATTTCGCCAATTGACTGCCTTAGGTGAAACAGTGGTACTTCTTTAACAATTCTTTGCCTAATAATATAGTTGAATATTTTTTATTTTTTCTTAGTACATTTTGTTTTCCTAAAAAGGTATTTTATCTTATTTTATTTCATTTCATTACAAATATACTATAAAAAAAAAATATATTTTGTTTAGAGGAAAATATGAAATTTTATATTTCCCCCCAAACGGGGATTAATTTCTTCCCGTTTTTCTTCGTATACTACTCAGCTAAGGCAGTATCAAATCGAGCTGTAACAACCGATACCACCTTGTATTATTGCATCATGGAGCAAGCCAAACTTCTCGTGCCTCGCCTCATTGCCGCTACGAGTACGAGCTGCGAGCGCCTGGTTGCCTGCGAGGCATTGAGTAGGAGTTTGCTCGCTCGCTCGCTCGAACTCCGAGTTTTTGCGTACCCTTATTATACCCTTGTGAACAATGCGCTTGGGTATACAAATTAATATTTTTGGTGCAATTTTCAAACGCAATAACACGAAAACTAGAGCCAAACCAGAAAAACGCTAACATCATTGAAATCAGGCTATTCGAGTAACATATATTTACCAGATATGAACCATCAATGTAGAAATTTTCCAATAACACTGTATGTATAATAAGTTAAATAAAAACGTTGATTGTGTTACCTTTTGTTCATCCAATAATAAATTATTGGATTTACCATAGCGTTCGACATAGCCAGCCAGTAGAATCCTAAGTACATGTGCTGAACATACTTGGTAGAAGTTACATCGTTGTTGTGGTATGCATAGATGAAGAACATATGATATGGAAACCAGCAAATAGCAAATATTGAAACAATGGCAATAAACATTCGGACTACTTTACGCTTCGATCTCATTGATTCCATTTGGCGATCAGTATTTTCTCCAATGGAACGGCTTCCCCTAAAATTATAACATATTTAAAGTGATTGAGAAGTTTAAAAAGTGTTATGAGCGTTTTAAATACCAGAGAACGCGACCCATTAGGGTGTAACATATAAGCATAACAACCATAGGAAAACCATATGTGAGGATGAGCAGAATAATGTTGTAACTGCATTTAAAAATATTTGATTCAGAATTCAAGATTAAGTATAAGCAATTTCAAAAAACATGCATATGTTTGTGTATACATATGTGTGTTAAGCTAGCCACAAACTACAAAAATGTGCGCAAACTTGCCAAAATGGTATTTTGTAACTTCAAATAAATATGAGATCTCGTTAAAAACACTTAAATTACGGTAAATCCAAGTTTTTAGGACAAAATGTTAAAAAGGTGAATTAAAAAATACACTATCACTTTCTTAATTTTTTTGTATTGTCTTTAACGATGAAATTAATTATACTGCCGGTTTTTTAGCCTCGCATACCTGCAGGAGTTCAAGGCATTAGTATTTTTGTGTGCAAGCCAGGGACGCCAACTAATTTTATATTTTTCCCCGTTGGTCACTGTGAAATTCCCCGATTTTCGGTCAAATTCCATTAAAACAAAATGTTTAGTTCAATTGCTTGAAATTATTAACGAATGTAGGTACATACAATATTTAAATGTTAAATCTAATTTCTCATAAAAATATACTTATTTTATTGTATAACATACGCCATATAAGTCAAAGTTTAAAATTTTGGGCAAAACTTACAAAAATTCAACAAATTAAAAAAAAATTTTAATCAAAATTTTCAACTTTTTACTCGGAATTCCTAGAAGCTAATTTAATTTTGGTATAATAATTTGCACGTTTGAAGTGGCTAAAAGTTACCGTTGATTTTTTATAACTTTTTTGCTGGGGCCTTTCGCTCACTTGAATTTAAATACAGATGATAAAGAAAATACCATGCTTTATATATTAATAAATGAATAAATAATTGCATTATTTAATATATATGTATATACATACAAATGAACATAAGTAAGATTTAAAACAGCAACCTTGAGCAAATACATACTTCATTTAAAATTTCGAACTAGTTCGTTCGATCAATTCAATAACCTAGGGCATTGAACTAATTAGCTCGGGAGCTTCCCAACTCTATTGACAAGGCGAATTTGGCGAATGCTGAAATCAATGTTTTTATAGTGTTGCTAACGCGACTATAAAATAAAATTTTACAAAAAGTATTATGCACTCTAGGTAAGTTCTTTAAAATTAAATAGCCGAAATTCCCCTCAAAAGGCAGCTCATTCCCCGATTCCGCGCAACGAGTAAAATTAGCCGCAAATTGGGGAATTCCCCGAAAGTTGGCATCGCTGGTGCAAACCCCTCACGGTGGGTCTGAAGTATTTTTAAATGGGGCATAAATACCACAAAGGAACTAGCAACGTGATATCAATTTCCAATGTTTTAGAAGCAATTTCCCATAAAAACCAAAATCGCCTCTAGGTAACTTTTTGAAATGCAGTAAAATCCGTTTATAATGGACTCCGCGAGACCGCGTCAAATTGTCCACTATTACCAAGTGTCCATTTCATCAGAATATAAAATTTTAAATCTCAAAAAGCGTTTTATTTATTAATGAAATGATGTACATGTATAAATACAAAATTGTGTACTTTCCATGTACGTAAAAGCCGGTTTTTCCCTCGACATTTTTCTTAAACGTAGAACAAAACGTAGATCAAAAACCAACGAACCGTCGCTCACAGTCAACCGCAGAAGCTGATTTTGAAAGATTTCGGTGAACCAATGAACTTTGTTTATGTATTATAGACATTTTCTGTTGCAGAGACTTGCATCTCTTTACTGAATTCCGGGAATTACCGAACTTTGTTAATTGCAGACCTTTTTTCTTCAATATTGCCATGACACCTCCTGTTATAGTCAGCGTTGCCGCGAGCTTGGAAAAAAGTATCAGTTGCAAAGCATAAAAAGTATCAAAAGCAAACACAACTTTTGCTTTCTAAACTTTTATTTGAAAAACAAATAATAAATAAAATTTTATATTTAAATCCATAGTTATAAAAAAATTTAAATTGCTCTAACAAAAACAGATTGCTTATTTGCATAACGAAAAACAAACGTATAGGGCCCCTAAACCACACAAAATCATTGCGCAATATTGTGGAAATTACTACACAATAATTGCGCTAACCTTGTTTTGGAGAAACGTTGCTCAAGTAAATATGTGCAAAAATATGCGTTGTATATTTTGATAGCTTCAGCTTTTTTTTCTCTTATCCATATTTTACAGCACGATCTGGACACCAAAATGTCCAAACTAGACTAAATAAAATTATAGCTTAAAAAACTAAAACCTCGCTATTAAAATTTCCATTCGTACTGTCATCAGGTTACTTTAAGAATGGAAGTTTAAAGCAATTCTCATTCGTACTGTCATCGGGTATGTAACTTGAGAATGGAAATCGCTGCATCTTTTAGGCGTATCAATATTACATAGTTACATCCCGAGTTAATAAAAGCGAGGTAAAAAATGCGCAGTTATCGCCATTCGCAACTCAAATTACACAGGCCGACAAAATAAGACCGATCTCCTTATCCACAAACCAGACTATACTTTCCCGAAGGTTTTCGGTGCGCTGAATTCAAATATGGCCACAGAATTGCTCTATCACCTCAGGATTTTGAGATATTCTAACCTCCCTGCCCATTTTTTAAGTTTTGTATGCAAGCCAGAGTAATTTTTCTCAAAAAAGTACTAAAAAGGTGTTCAAGTACAAGTCCTTCTCTTTGAAATGGCGTTGATTTGCTCAAATATCTTTTTGCTTTTTGCTGAGATATTACAGTTTTAAGTTTACAGATCTTCCAATTTTTCTATATCTTGAAAATCATGTAAGCAACATAGCGGCCACTTAAAACTTAAACTTAAAATTGTAATATCTCAGCGAAGCAAAAAGATATTTGAGTAAACTCAACGCCATTTCAAAGAAGACTTGTGCTTTAACACCTTTTTTGTATTTCTTTTTTTAATTACTCTGGCTTGCATACACAACTTCTAAAATGGGCAAAACGGCATTTTTTGCACTTATAGGTTGAAATATCTCAAAATCCTGATGTGATAGAGCTATTCTGTGGCCAGACTTGAATTCAGCGCACGGAAAACCTTTGGGAAAGTATAGTTTGGTTTCTGGGTAAAAATTGTGTCGGCCTGTCTTATTTAAAAAGAGGGCTGACGTGTTGCTAGTTATCTCGATTCAGTTTAATAACAACAAATCTGAATATTCCAATGGCTTTCGCCTATAACTAACAACTCTTTTTTCACAATTTACTGACATTCTAAAAGAGTTTTGCATGCAAGACATAGAGCTAGAAACTCTTTTTAGCTAATTCTTAGTCTTTCAAAGTTTTTGCGTAGTTGAAAAAATTAATTTAAGCCATGAGGAATTATAGATGAAGTTCTTAAACAGGGGTACTTTTCCACAGTTTGAAAAAGTATGTTGTTTTTTATTTTTAATACCACATTCAAACGAAGCAACTGAAAGGATCTTAAGCATGATAAACATATTTTTATCATGATCTTAAGTTTTCTTCCTGGCGCAAAGAGAGAAATCGGCTTCTAATTAAAATTATTTAAAGTGAACTTCATATTAACAGTAATTTTAAAAGGAAATGTGTAGAATTCTTTGACTATTCAAACACTGAAGATGGAAATGATCTTGTTATTGCTATTCAAAAATGTCATAAATATAAAATAATTTCTTGGCTTCTGTGTACAATGATGTGTACAGTCATGTCTAACACATTTATTTTTTGTGAACTACTAGCTGTACCCTGCGCGCGTTGCTACGCCACCAACTAAAATATATATGAAAGAACGACATTACACAAATATTCAACTCATTTTGAGTCCTTTTATTGATTTTGTTCATTTTGAAAAAATTGTGACATTGCAGCGTTTCGTTTCAATTCGATATTTATTGAAGTGCTGTGGGATATACAATATTTCTTGTTCGGAAGGTTTTCCGACGCGTGAGCAGGCCACATAGAGCTGCCCATGTGAGAAGCATGGATCCTCCAAATTTAATCCAAACACTTGCAACGATTGTCCTTGTGCTTTGTTGATAGTCATTGCGAAAGCAAGTCGCACCGGGAACTGCAAACGTTTGAATTTGAATGGCATATCTGTCGGGATCATTGGGATGCGTGGCAACAGTACGTCTTCACCTTTGAATTTTCCAGTCAAAATTGTTGCTTCGATAACATTGTTCATCATTTTCTTGACTGAGTCTGGTTCCGTTGCAAAGTCGTGGTGGTTTTATGTTTCGAAGAAGCATGATGGGTACGCCAATTTTCAATGTTAGAACGTGCGGTGGCATGCCTGGCAAATCAAGCGAGTTCAAGAATTCAGTTGGATAGTTGACAACTTCGTCTTGATTCACCACAGTATCGATGGACTTATATGTTGTCGTTTCGCCGGGTATTCCATTCTGAATAGTGAAGTTGATGGTATTGACATCGATGTTTTTGGCCGCTAATATAGGACGCGTACTGAGCCACTGATGATTTTTGTAGTTCTGTGCAATCTTTAGGAATACCTTTTGCACCAATTCGGCTATGCTTTCTGTGATCCTACAGAAGTTTGCTGGCAAGGTAATACATTGTGTAGAATCATCAATTTGCATTCGCCCATTTCCAATAACCATTAATTCTTTTACAAAATGGTGGTATAACCGGCACTGTTTGTCAAAAATCACCAGACAATAAAATGAGTGAGATCCGTGTGTTTCCCCTCAAATCTCGCAGTGTACGATCAAGCGCTTCCAATGCTTTCTTGTGAGACATTAGNACAGTCTACCGCTTTGTTCTGTGATTGCACGCATAATTCTGTTATACGCAATGCGTTGCTGTGAATGTTGGCATGTAATTTTCGCACACGATGTTCGTTGCACCGAACGATGTCACTTGAAAACATGAATTGTATTTGCGGATGTTTTCCAAGAAATGCTTTGACTCACGTGTAACACCTGATAGCAACGTTGATAGTGGTTCGGGTGGTGGAGGTAGTTCTGGCAATTTAACTTTTCCATTGGCGCAGCACATTTGAGGGCGCTACAATACATGCAAATTTCATCAATTTTTCCAATGTTGACACTTGG